GCAGGAATGACCTTTTAAGCTTCTTTCCTGCTTCACCCTTCACAAGGTGAGTACGCCCAACCATAAAGGTTTCCACATGGAGAATCAAGCAAGCACCCTGCCCAGAAGATCATCCTTGTTTCCTGAATCCAGTAGTCCATTCTGCTCTCAGTGGCTGAAGAGCCTGAGACTGCAAGACAACAGACTATCAGCCATCAGTCTTTTTTACTTGCCATGTGACGCTAGGGTTGCAGAAAATGCACAGTGGAGTCTCCTGGAGATAGGAACCTTCACATGTTTCTGCTGTTTGTGGACTTAGAGGCAGAATGCCTGCTATCGGTATGGTCTTGTGCCCAAAGTAATATGATCTTCTATGATTCGTCCTGAGGATGCTTGTAGTGGTGAGACACTTGGCGAGTTTTGATGAGTGCACTCAGGGAGAAGTTGGTATGTTGTTGGCGATAGTTGTGGGCATTAGCAGAGGAAGCTCTTTCTTAGAAAATCTCTGAGACCGCATCTCTTCAGGACTGTACAGGGTAAGGCAGACCTAAGGCGCCTGAAGAGATGCCTGTTGTTCACAGTGGAGCAAGGTACCTAACTATCTTTGTATTAGCACCAATTGTTTACCCTGAGGTCAGTAAAAAATAAAAAAGAATCGGTAGAGGAAATGCTGAACTCCTTTGGTCAGTAAGCTGACCAGAGTGAAAAAGCTGTTAGGGGAAGCAGCCGCGCTGCAGGTGGATGCCTATTTCTCTTTTCTCTCTTTCAGTTCTGCCACCAGTGGTTCTCCCGGCAATGTTCCCAGCTCTCATCATCACTTTCCTAATAGTTGCTTATTGCAGCTACAAGTATTTCCTCAGGTAGGCTTGTGTTGTGACTCGGAGATTTAGCAGCGTGTTGGCCATGTGGGCGGCATAAAGGCTGAGGCACTGCTCGTCCCCCACGAGAGATGAGCCTTGGTGTGCAATGGGCAGCCTTGTGCATGTGTGTGCAAGGGTGAGAGTTGGGTGGTGGCGTGCCAGGGCCTTGGTGGTGCCTCGCTGTGCAAAGCAGCATGGTGTACGGGGTGCAGTCTTTCCTGGTTGCAGCCATGTTGAGAAGCAAATCTGGAAAACTCTGTGTTGTTGTTGTTACAGGAAGAAGCAAATGTGGGAGGAAAAGATTCCAAACCCCGGCAAGAGTCTTCTGATCCAGAGCTACCTGGGGGTAAGAGGGAACTGTTGCTTGAAGGGTGCTCCTGGATAAGTACAACATGGAGCTATTCCAGGGTGAAAAGAAAGAAGGGAGAGGTTTGTTGGAATGTCTGGTTGAGTGGGAGCTTCCAACTCAGTGCCACTGAACAGAGTGCTGTCCTGTCCAGGAGGGTTATGGAGCCTTGCTGTGCCTCATGAAACCCTTCACTACAGAGGCCTTCTGCCTATTTTCCTACCTTCGTAACCAGGATCTGAGAGTTTTAAAAAAAAAAATCAACTCACCCCTCTGATGCATCTGGTCAGTTTTGCCATCCTTTGCCTCCAAAATGCCTGTCAGAGTCCTCATACAAGAAACCTGTTGTCCCTAGACGGACTTGACCTTTTTCTGTTCCTGGCCAGGACGTTGCCTGGCTCCCTTCAGTGCTGCCTTCTCTAGTCTTTGCATGAGTACCTCCCTGCACACTCCTCTGCAGCCGCTGGAGGCTGACTTCATACTATGAGAGCAGTATTTCCTCCTACATGCTATTCTTCCTGGATATGGACATTTTCCTCCATGTAAGAAAGGAGAGGGCAAAGAAAAATAAATGTATATTTTGCACAGTTGCATCTCTCTTTTCTTCTGCCTCTCTCTCTCACCCATTTCCTGATTTCATCCGCAAGAGCCATGCAAATCTTGTGATTTAAAGAAATTATATCCCAGTAGGTGTATGTCTCCAAAAGAGGCACTGCATGGAGCATGCTTGGAATTTTATGAGAACAGTAGGCTAGGTTCCTTTCTGGAGATGACTCCTGTGTGTTTCAGTTTCTCACTATCATCATTCCACAGCCTTATCTATCTGCGAGTCTCCCCTTGAACCGTTGGATTTGTATTTGATCTCATATCTCCAATGTCTTTATCTCCTTAAGGCAATGCTGCTAATCTCCATTCTACAGACAGAGAGCTCATGCTATTTTTGCCACTGTGTTTTATCATCTGCTTACTTAAGCTAAATGACTTCCACCTCATTTCTGGCTCCCTGCAGCGCAAGTACAAGTGCAACGCTAGGGAAGAGTGGTCTTTACAAAGATTTACAGAGTTGCTTTACAAAGTAACTTAACAGTTACTTCTCCAGTTGCAACATTTTTAGTTGTCCACCCCTGTCTTCTCCACCAGCCTCACCCCCTACCTTGCAAGTCCTTTTGTCCCATTTTATATTTTCACCTTAAGTGGAATGCCTGGTGTAGGCATTGCTCTTGAGCATGCTGCACACGGTGGCTGTCGTGGTCTTCAGCCAACTGTTCATTTGGCACCCCGTATTTCTCAGCATGGGTTTATGAAAGGCAGGTCCTGCTTGACCAACCCGATCTCCTTCTATAAGCAGGTGACCCACCTAGTGGATGAGGGAAAGGCTGTGGATGTTGTCCTCCTAGACTTTAGTAAAGCCTTTGACACCATTTCCAGCATGCTCCTGGAGAAACTTGCTGCTCATGGCTTGGAAGGGCATACTCTTTGCTGGGTAAAAAACTGGCTGGATGGCTGGGCCCAAAGAGTTGTGGTGAATGGAGCTAAATCCAGTTGGCAGCCAGTCAAAAGTGGTGTTCCCCAGGGCTCAGTTTTGGGGCCAGTTCTGTTTGATATCTTTATCAATGATCCAGACTGGGGAATCAAGTGAACCCCTAGTAAGTTTGCAGATGACATCGAGTTAGGCAGGAGTGTTGATCTGCTCAAGGGTAGGAGGGCTCTGCAGAGGGACCTGGACAGGATGGGTCAATGGGCCAAGGCTAATTGTGTGAGGTTCGACAAGGCCAAGTGCCGGGTCCTGCACTTGGGTCACAACAACCCTACGCAACACTACAGGCTTGGGGAAGAGTGGCTGGAGAGCTGCCTGGCAGAAAAGGACTTGGGGGTGGTGGTTGACAGCTGGCTGAATATGAGCCAGCAGTGTGCCCAGGTGGCCAAGAAGGCCGACAGCATCATGGCTTGTATCGGGAACAGTATGGCCAGCAGGGCAGTGATTGTGCCCCTGTACTCAGCACTGGTGAGGCCGCACCTCAAATACAGTGTTCAATTTTGGGCCCCTCACTACAAGACATTGAGGTGCTGGAGCGTGTCCAGAGAAGGGCAACAAAGCTGGTGAGGGGTCTGGAGCATAAGTCCTATGAGGAGCGGCTGAGGGAACTGGGGTTGTTTAGTCTGGAGAAGAGGAAGCTGAGAGGAGACCTTATTGCCCTTTACAGCTGCCTGACAGGAGGCTGTACTGAGGTGGGTGTTGGTCTCTTCTCCCAGTAACAAGCGATAGGATGAGAGGAAATGGCCTCAAGTTGCACCAGGGCAGGTTTAGGTTGGACATTAGGAAAAATTTCTTCACCAGAAGTGTTGTTAAGCATTGGAATGGGCTGCCCAGGGAAGTGGTCGAGTCCCCATCCCTGGAGGTATTTAAAAGACGGGCAGATGAGGTGCTTATGGACATGGTTTAGTGGTGGGATGGCAGTGTTAGGTTAATGGTTGGACTTGATCTTAAAGGTCTTTTCCAACCTAAACGATTCTGTGATTCTAATTTGGCTGTCAACAAACTTCATCAACTTCTTTTTCTGTCCACACACAAAAATCAACACCAGTATAAGGCCATCCAGTGCTCTAAAAAGCATCACAGGAGCTTTGTTACCTATCTCATACTCAGCTCTCCATCCACAAGTGCTCTCTGTCAGTCTTGTGGCTTTGAGAGTTTTCATCCCTGTAGCAAACTCCCTTATCCTCAACTTTGTAAACACCCCAGCAATTCTGTTTCTCTGGTCAGTCAGCACAGAAGGACAGTTGTTTTAGCTCTAGAGGTGAAATGTTGCCCAGAGTGTTCTCATGGTGTGCTGAATTACAGTAGGCATTGCACAGAACAACAGCTTTGAGGTTTATTGTGACAGGAACCTGCAGCAGCCCCTGACTCCTATGCTGCACAAAGATAGGTCATGGTTAGCAATGCAGAAGTGAAGGAATAGTCTTCTGGAGGACAGGACATACTTTGTAGCCACAGCGGTGGGATTGCTTCCACATTTCCACCCATTATGACTTGAGGATGGAAGAGAAACAGATCTCAGCTTGTTCTGGCTAGAGAATGAAGGTTGAAATGTGAAGAGGATCTGCAGTTTGGAGCAAAGATGAAGGAGGGAAAAGCTGATAGAAGATGTTGCAACAAATCAAAGGGGTATGAAGGTGCCAGGAATGCTTTCAGACTGGTGTTTTTTTGACCTGCATCAGTCTATTAAAGATTGCCTGTAGCAATGTTTCTACTGTGTTTAGGTGGGGAAACAGGATGGCCCTATAACTGAGAACAGCAAGGTTGTTGGGACAAAAGTTATTTAGAAAAGATTACTTCTAAAACACAGGTTGATAAACTGGTAAAACCAATTATACACTATGAATGCCTGAAAGATCATTCTCGTCCTAAGCATCTATCACAAATGTGCTACGATTGTTCTTGTGCCCATGGCTCCTGGCTCTTCCTGGCCTTAATGTGATCTCTCTTTCCTCAGAAGTGTTACGGTCTTCATTTTCTCTCTTTAGGAAGCTGCCAGCCAACGGCCAGCCATCCTGGTGGGCTTCAGTGAGCAGAACACTTCTGAGGAGGTGGAGCAGATTAACCCCCTTAAAGTGCTGAATGGGTAAGTAAGCAGTCCACTCCCCACTCCTTTCTTGAAAGGTTCCTTCCTAACCATGGGCTAAGAGCGGGTTGTGTTTGGATATCACTCATTGCAATGGGGAGGACAAAGCGTTTTCACCTGTATATCTCCTAAGTCTGTGTACACCTTCCAAACATCTGTGGAAGTTGTAATGAATTGCTGCAGCTGCCCAGCTTGACTTCCCTGGCTGGAAGTCTGAGGATAGAAACCTACTCGCTTTCTTCCTCCGCATTTCCTTTGGAAATGGTTTGAATAAAAGGCACTGACCTAATAGGGTGGAAATCTTGTTGGCTGAATTACTCCCAGCCTGCCTGAACGCAACCAAAAATACATAAATACATATATTCCCTTACCTCTTCATCCTCTAGAAATGACATGCTTTCTGCTCCTTGAAGCAAAGTCTGACTTTGAAAGTGGAATGTGAACAAAGAAGAGCTGCAGTGGTCCCAGCCAGTGTGTGGCTGATCAGAAATCGCTCCAAGTTGTCCATACAGCCTCAAATTTGTGTCAGGTCTTTAAAGATGGAGCAGGGAGGTGACCTATTATGGTCTGTTCAGGAAATTATCCTTGGTTGCAGAGCAGCTGGGGAGGCTGACACAAATTAAATTGACTCTTGGGTTTCACGATAATGGTCTGCCTCTTAAGAGATGGTCAGCTCTTTTTAAGAAGATATACGTTTGTAAGTCATGTGAAGGAAAGAGGGGTTATGTTTGTGACTTCTTTGAAACCTTTGTCTTCTCGCTTTGTCTAGCTTCACATTCAGCGCTTGTAAGAGACAGGGTCCCTTTATTTTGAAGAAGTAACTGCAAAGTATCACTGAAAGCTTGAGAGCTGTATAAATGCTGATGCTAGCAGTCACGCTGCCCGTGCCTATACCGCTAAATAAATCAGTGCCAAGATGTAGTATCAAGCACTGCCTTGTAACTGCTTGCACTGCTTTGTTGTCAGCACTCTCCCTGCCATGGCTTGGCCTGTGCTGTCCTGGCATGGTTTGGGACATCACACAGGGTAGCAAGCATTCCCAACAGGCAATGCGGACACAAATGTACCGGCTTAGGCTGTGTCCAGTGTCCTTCAGCAGTATTCTAGCAGGCTTTGCGCCCAGGCCGTGCAACACACATCCTGTTTCATGCTGTGCCTACAGCTGTAACACAGCGGTCACATTATGTAGTGCACTTTGAACTGAAAAAACAAACACAAAATCTCAGGCGACTCAGGAGACTACCATGGCTGTATGTATGGACACAGCCAGTCTATGCCATTTTACCAGCGGGCCAAAGAATGGTCCCTGGCCTTGTTTTATTTACATCAAAATCATAGCTTTTCTTAAAAGCTGATTTGTGCTTGCATATCTTGGCACTGAGAAAAATTGGTGGTAGACAGTTGATCTCTTGCTGTGGCACAGAAAAGGCTGAGGCTTGCATCTTCTAAGGAAGGTACTAGAGATGTGGCCAAAGTTTCCTTCTGTTTTCCTGGAAGACAGTGTACCCCCTTAGAGCATCTCCTATTTATATGCAGTTATCACCTTAAAGAGCTGTCAGTCAGAAAGCTGTCAATAGCAGCTAAGTCCTGTGTTTTTTCACCTGAACAGGATGACTCAGAGTCCAGCAGAGGTACATGGAACTGAGGCAAAGAAAGGGCAGTTTTCCCCCGCTACACTGGCTCCACAGAACTCCTGTCAGACTTCTGAAGCACCACATAAAACTTCACTTCTGCTGTCCATGCCTGTCTACCCATTGGATGAGACTGCTGGTCCACCCTGCCTGTTTGCCAGACTTCCAGGCAAGAGTGCTGCTTCCCAGAGAGCAATCCCTTGCTTTGCTTTCAACGGTCCTTACTTGTACAGCCCAGTGATGTCGTCCCAGCCTGATATGCATCAGACCCTGGAAGCGGACCCAGTGGGAGTCCGTGAGAAATCAGTTTCCCTTCAGCACGTGACCCTCCCAAAAGAAGACTGTCCTCTGGCTCCACAGAGGCAAGAACAGCCAGGAACAGGTCCTCCACAGCCCTTCCTGCTCCCAGAGCAGAAGGAAATGATGCAGCACCTCAACAATGAGCAAGAAGTCTCACCAGCCCCACCAGCGACCCCCCCCCCCCCGCCACTTGTCCCTGCTGGGGATGTACCTTGTGACTCACAGGAGCCCCAGCCCCCCAGTGACCACCCTTGCCATGAGTTTTGTCCTGGGAAAACCGCTGTCATGGTCCCAGTTGCAGATCAAGCACCAACCTCTCCTCCTGAATTGCACCTGGATACATCTGGAGACCCTTTAGGTCTCCATGGACATTCAGAACCCACAAAAATGTCCTTACATGTTTTTTGAAATGGAGTATTTTTTTCCCGAAGAACCTGTGTTGGAGAACTATGTTAGTCATATTTAATCCTGGCAGCACCATAACGATTTTCTTCCATTATGGGCAATTGCTACCCTGACCCCAAACTAAAACCCAGTAAGAAGGTGCAGGTGAGTCAGGAAGATCCCCAAGTGTTTATGTGGCAAGGTTTTGGTAGCAGGAAGGCTACAGGGGTGGCTTCTGTGAGAAGATGACAGAACCTTCCCCTGTGTCTGATAGAGCGAGTTCCAGCTGGCTCCAAGATGGATCCACTGCTGGTCAAAGCTGAGCACATCTGATGTTGGTAGCAACTCTGTGATAACATATTTAAGAAAGGATAAAAACTGCTGTGCAACAGCATCTGGGAGACAGGAGTGAATATGAGAGAGAAATGACGCTGCAGACACCAAGGTCAGTGAAGGAGGAGGAGGTGCTCCAGGCACTGGAGCAGAGATTCCCCTGCAGCCCGTGGTGAAGACCATGGTGAGGCAGGCTGTCCCCCTGCAGCCCGGGGAGGACCCCACACTAGAGCAGGTGGATGTGCCCCAAAGGAGGCTGTGACCCCATGGGGAACCCACACTGGAGCAGTCCATTCCTGAAGGACTGCACCCCGTGGAAAGGACCCACGTTGGAGCAGTTTGTGAAGAACTGCAGCCCATGGGAAGGACCCACATTGGAGAAGTTAATGAAGAACTGTCTCCTGTGGGTGGGACCCCATCCTGGAGCCG